AAGCCCTTCCCTTTAAATCTGCTCCCGGGACCACCTAGAGTCGCTCCGCTTTTCTGTCGGTTGGCAATAAGTCGCCGGGGGTCACTGTTCGCGTCAGCGCGCCGCGATCAGTCTCGCCGTTCCGCGTTCCTGCCCGATCTTCCGCTTTTTCTCAGTTTTCCTCGTTCTCCAGCCATGTATCTGCTGTGTTTCTTTGTCCTGCTGCTCTGGATCGGTCCGGCGCGCGGTTATTTCCCGGAGGAGCGCTGGAGCCCGGAGTCCGCGTTGCTCGCGCCGCGGGTGCTGCTCGCGCTTGTCTGCCGCAACTCGGCGCACTCTCTGCCGCACGTCCTCGGAGCCATCGACCGCCTCAACTACCCCAAAGACCGCCTGGCTGTATGGTGAGTTCCGGCGGATTGGACTGTTTGGCGTGATTTATCGGAATTGATGTTCCGCGCAATTACGCGTCTGACAGCTGCGCGTCCTGCGCTGGACTGATGCGTTGTGTGTTAACTGTAAGTGACTGCAGACTTTCTGTAAGTGCGTGAAAGCAAGTAAACAACAGAGAGGCGTATTATGTGCGTGTTGACTGAACTAAACTAACACCAGCTGTGCTCACGTGAGTCTTTAGAGATGTGATTTGTGATCTATCTCTGCTTGGAAATGAGAGCAGGATAGATTTGACTCGGTTCCTGCTGTGGCCTGTGTGCGTGGAGGGGAAATGAGCGAGTTTAGACGTGTCCAGGGCAGACAGACACCCCCTTCATGCCCCTCGATCAGCTCTGCCCCCCCCTCCTCCCCCTGCCCCCCGACTCATGCCGATCTGATCAGCCGACGTGTCCATGAATGTGCGTTGCGCGCGGTGATGGAATTTGTGAGAAAACAGAACAACACATGAATGAGTTTCCTGCATGAATGAGAGTCAGTGAGCTGAAAACTTCCCCTGCGGCGACAGCCAGATGAAATGTATGAAACACCTTCTGAGAGACTTTATGACCTCAGAAAACATGCATGTCAGAAAACTAAGGAAGACATCTTTAATAATCGAATTGTGTAGTGAACTTAAGGCTACTTATTGATTTCTATCTATTTTCTTTTTCTATTTTATAGTCATCAAATACTTTAATATTTAGCATTCACGGTCAACATCCCTTCAGCAAATACTTAAGAAACTGAAAGTTGACCCCTAAAACTATTCTGACACTTAAAAAAAAAAACATGAAAAATGTATTTGATTACAAAATATCAGACCAAGTGAAAGATACAAAAAGTAAAAAAAAATGTTTTGCATGATAAAGCAACATTTCACCCAAAGTCTCACCATCTGCTTATTTAAGAGCATTGTCCCATTCAGTGTTTGGGATAATGCATTGCTTTAATTACTTTCCCAAAAAATAGTGTGGTCCATTTTCATGATGCTTTTTGTTTATCAGTTCGGAGCCAGGTTCTCTTCCAGTGGATTATATAAAACTATTTTCATAATCCAATAAAGAAACTTGGTTCTGATGAAAAATTAAAAAACACCAACAGCCAATCAGAATCCACCAGACAGAAGAAGAGCTGGAACATTTAAATGCTAATGTCCGAGCTGGATGCTAATGCAGTTATTGTTCTTGGTGTGAACAAGCATTAAATGAGTGCATGACAAGAAATGAATGCAATTGTGTGTGAACTCTTCCTTTAATGTGAATGTTTAATTGTTGGGTGAGTTTAAAGTAGCATCTGATTGGCGTGTAGCCAATGTAATGTAAAACATTTCTGACATTGTATCATCCTCGTTTCATTCGGTTCAGAGTCGCAGCGGTGTTCAGAACTGAAGCCTCGCTCTCAGCGTATAGTTAACAACTGAAACTGAACCGCCGGGGTTTGTGTAGCTGCCACAAACAGACCAGAACGAAACCACATGTGGTCCGAGACTTCCAGAAGCATAGCATTAGAGTGGTTCACACACTCACACGAGAGCAAAGACACACGACAGCTCGTGATCAACATCTCCAGTGGGGTTCTCATCTGCTCCAGCTTTTATTTTTACAGTAATACTGTAGGATGGGCGTCGTCGTGTGATTGGTTCTCTCAACGCGAGGGCGGCGGTTTGGCGCCTTTTTCTCCTGTGTCTTAATGGCTTTAATTAACGAATGAGTGCTTTCTTTTGATGACTCTCTATGAATCAGGCAGCCACATTATAGATGTAATTTTACACCCACAGATGTTTAATTGCCATTTTATCACCATAATTAGATATAATATGTAATTATAATGCATACACTACCCTTCAAAGTCAGTAAGATTGTTTTTATGCTCACCCAGGCTGCATGTATTTAAAAGTAAAAACACTAATCCTGTGAAATATTATGACAATGCTATTACAATTGATATATAATATAATATATTGCGATTTAAAATAACTGTTTTCCATTTGAATATATATTATTATATAAAAATTATTATATATTATAATATAATATAATATAATATAATTATTTTTGTTGGAAACTCAAAGAAAATAAATGTTTTTTTTCTGCATGTACATTATCGTTTTGGATGCGAACCATTATTAACAAAAAAAGTAATTTGTTTCTGAAGCTTTCTAGTGTTTCTTCAGAGCTCTAAACCTAATTATGAACACTAGTAGGGGTGGGCGATATGACCAAAATCTTGTATCACGGTATGAGTAATTTTATATCATGATAACGATATACATCACGATATAGTTATTTTTTTCTTTTAAAAAGGTTTTTATGATATTAAAATCTTTGATACCATAGAATTTGTATAATCCTTGTCACCAATGTCGATATCAAACTAATACAAGACAATAATAATAATAAAAAAAAACAAGCTCACTGGAGATAAATAAACAGTCAGTGATGAAATAAGAACAAGAAACAAATTTCAAGCAATAGGACAAAAAAACTACAATAAATAAGAAATACATTGTGTAAAGGAATTAGTCTTCACTGTGTAAGTTTCTGTCTATCTATCTATCTATCTATCTATCTATCTATCTAGGCATAATTATTAGCATTAGCATTATTTATTTATTTTCTTCTTACTAGTTACAAAAGTGATTTAGTCAAGAGCAGTGAGATATTTTCTCTCACTGTTGTTTGATTAATATGAATGGCAGACAGGACGAATTTTGGACAGCTTCCCCTTTAAGACAGAAACCAATATACTGTTACACATGCGTTTTCTCTTGCAACTGTTTACGTTCCCTTAAGACCTACATGACTGTGATTATGAGGATACTTGCAAAGCCGGGCATTTGGACGCATATAAGCGTTTACGCACTTGTTCAAATCCAGTAAAGTGGCAAAAATGCTCACGAGCTCTATTAGCAGCTGATGCTCGGCTTACAGGCTCCTCTCACAGAGACAGTGTGTGCGTATAGCTCTGTTGTTTGTGTTTCAACGGCCTAAAATCAGTTGTTTTAAACTGCAGTGCTTAAAAATGCGTGCAAACATTAAGTTTTCGTGACCACGCGCAAAGCAACGTGGCGTGAGCGCGCATGCTGTTATTCACGTTTCTGTCTGCATCCCCGTGAAATTCATGTAATGGCGGGTTCAGACTACACAATATTTTTGTCAGTCACGATAGTCACTGTGTCAGATTACACGATTTTGACTCCTAAAATCTCGTTGTGTCGTGGACAAGAGACATGTCAGACTACACGTTGCTTCCCGACCATTCATCGTGTGCCGTCTTTAACGACTCACGTGATGTCATCGAGAAGGCGAACTAGCAACTGACTTCCGAAAACAAGAGTGTAAACATTGCTGAAGCGCTTCCGCTATCGTTCGCCAGCATTTTTCTTTCTTTGTTCTGTCGTGGTAGTCCCTCGATGACACATCATACAGGCAGGAGTACTGTTGCCACAGCTCCACGAACCTTTCCTCCATCTCATAACTCCACCTAGCAGCACCATCATCTCTCCTTCGTTTCGCCATGTTTGAAACCTGTGTCTGAAAGAGCTTCTGTGCTGCTATTGGTCAACGTCACCAGTGTGACAGAACTCGTCGTGGACGACGGAAAAAAATTAAACATGCTAGTCTTTCTGTCGTGATGTCGTGAAGCATCGCAGACGCGGAATCGGTTGTCGTCCACTATGACACACTACACGAGCTGAAATGATTGAATCTTGTGTCCCGATGCCCATTGTCGTTTACCAATCCCCACGACACCCTACGTCAAGCAAATCGTGGCAAAATCGGACTAAAATCATGTAGTCTGAACCGGGCGTAAGATTGCCGTCATTCAAATGATGAAAAAGTATTGCCGTAAACAATGTATTTTTGCGGTACCACGAAATAAACGATAGAGCATAATATGGAACGATAGACTTTTAATTTCGTCCATCCGATATACTGTATATCGTCATATCGCCCAGCCCTAAACTAGTACTAGTAATTTTTGTCTTTGCAAGTTTAGTGTAAACAACGGAAGCATTCAGACCTGTAGGTCATCAATGGCTGTAGGAGATGGACGGGTGCGTCAGATCTGATTGAGACTGGGAAAAAAAGAGGAATGAAATTTGCCTGAGGAACTTTCAGAAGCTTCTCTCTGTGTGTGTGTGTGTGTGTGTGTGTGTGTGTGTGTGTGTTTGGTATGAGATTGTGCACCTGGAAACCATCTGTTCACAGCTAAACCCTGATTAGAGACAGCCTGTATGATCTCAGTGATAAATTTCCCCTGGAACATCTGCTGAGCTCACCTGAACACTCGTTTGTACAGGATCTGTCAGTGCTTTTCCAAGTAACTAGTAAAGTGCATTACTTTTAAATTTCTTTTAAATACTTTTAAACCTTCCTTCAGCCTGAGGCTTATTCATTTCGCTTTTGTTGTGAAAGGGACAAATATATATATATATATATATATATA